AATACAAACAAACAAACAAACATCTCCTGAGATGGTGAAAGTTTGGTGGCCTGGTGATGATTCCAGACAACCCCCAAACACTATAATGCTACAGAACCTTCTATAAAACTAGAACCCTGGCACAACTGGCTAGGAATTCCTGTTTTGACGAAAGCTTCCAGAGTTCAGATAGCCAGAGGGATCATGCCAAGATCTGATTGGAAGAAGGAATCTGAGTCCTTCCTTAGCTGGGAGCTTCCAAAGCAATTCATCTGGCTGAGTCCAGGCCAGCTGGCTGAATGCATCCCTGGAATTGCCTCTCTTCCCTTCCTGAAAGACGAGAGACTTGGCACTAAATGTAGGTCAAGTTTCTGTCTGAGATTCTTTTCTCTTTTTCCAAGATAAAGTCTGGGAAGTAGCCGGGCTGGGAATGGTTTGGGACAAGGAGGAGGAAATCTAACATTGAGTGTCTCTGATGTGTTAGACACTATGGCTGTTGTGTGAACGTCATTGCATCTGATCCTCACAAATCTTGTGAATAAGAGAGGCTTGTCCCCACTTCACAGATGAGGACACTGAGACCTGGAGATAGTCACTTGCAAAGATCACATAGGAAGAGACAGAGCCAGGATTTTAAGCTGCACAATTTGGCACGAAAAGGTCGCCCTTTTCCCCTGCACCTGCAACAGGAGAAAGGTAAGGTGCAGCCTTTTCTGGCCGGGTCTCTGCTTTCCCCAACTTCTTGTGTGTGTGTGTGTTTTTTTTGAGATGGAGTTTCACTCTTGTTGCCCAAACTGGAGTGCAGTGGTGCAATCTCAGCTCACTGCAACCTCCGCCTCCTGGGTTCAAGCGATTCTCCTGCCTCAGCCTCCGGAGTAGCTGGGACTGCAGGCGCGCACCACCACACCCGGCTAATTTTTGCATGTTTAGTTTCACCAACATGGGGTTTCACCATGTTGGCAAGACTGGTCTCAAACTCCTGACTTCAGGTGATCCACCCACCTCGGCCTCCCAAAGTGCTGGGATTACAGGTGTGAGTCACCAGCCCCACCTGCTCTCCCCCACTTCTGAGGGCTCACAGCAGTGGAGGAAGGGCCAGGCAGGAACTAGGAGCTCTTCGGCTTCTGTCAGTAAGCTTTCACAGGGCCAGGTCGCTTTGCTGGCTATTCTCTCCCCTACCTCTTCCTTCTTACCCTTTTCCAATCAAACACCCTCCAATCATTCTGAAGCTAAAACAAACAACAATGACGAAAACAAAACCTCCTTGACCTGCCTCTACCTCTAACCACCATTTTCTCTTTACGGGCTGATCAGCTCCTCTTCTCAGTTGAGCTACTCATACAAAGTTATCCTAATGTTTCATACCCACTTCCTCACCATGCTCTCTTCATCCCATTCCAAACTGGCTTCTCCTCTCACGGGTCTACTGGAACTGACCCACCAGGGCCACTAATTACCCTCTCAGTGTTGAATTCATTAGACATTTTCCATTCTCATATGATTTGATTCCATTGACTTGCTAACCTCTCAGTCCCTCGTGATAACTTACTTTCCTTTTCTTTCATGACAACATACTCTCTGGATTTTCCTCCATCGTCTTGCCTACTCTTTCTGCATCTTATTTTTGGGCTGTTTCTCCTCCATCCAACCTTCAAATGTCCAAGTTTTTCAGGGCCTGGCCTCAGCCTCTTCCCTTCTCACTCCACACTTGCTCTCCAGTCTCACCCACTTCCATGGTTTACTGCCTCCATATTGATGTCTCCAGCCTGTATGATCCCCCTGAGCTCCAGATCCATGTATCCAATTGTCGACAGAGGGGTTGGCAAAGTTTTTTTTCTGTAATGGACCAGAGAGTAAATATTTTATGCTAAATGGTGTCTGCTGCAATTAAACTCTGCCATTCGAGTGCAAACTCAGCCACAGACATTAAAAGAACAAATGAGCATGGCTGTGCTCCAGAGAAATTTGTTTATGGACATTGAAATTAGAATTTTACATGATTTTCCTGTGTCAGGAAATAGTGCTCATCTTTTGATTTTTTTTCAACCATTAAAGATTTGAATCTTATATAATTTGAATTTTATATAAAATTTTCACACATCAGAAAATATTATTCTCTTTTTGATCATTTTCAATCATTTAAAAATGTAAAAACCAAATAAGAAGCCAGAAGTGACCCAAGGGCAGAGATTTTTGTCTGTTTTGTTCACTGCTGTGCCCCAGGCACCTAGAACAGTACCTGGCACCTAGAAAGGGTTCAACTGACATGTGTTGAATCAATGCATGCTGCTGAGGCTCAGCTTCCTTCATGGGGAGGGAGGGCAGGATCTGCAGAGAAAAAGAAGTCATTGCTATTCTTAAATGAAACTCTTTAAAGCAGTGGTTCTCGCCCCTGGCTGCAAGGCAGAATCCTTGCAGAATTGATCAAATTGATTTAATCATAAGTTAAATCAATTGAACTTTAAGATCAATGGATCAATTAAGTCAGAAGTTCTGGGAATGGGAACTTTTCAGGTCCCTACAAAAGTTCAGCCAAGGTTAAGAACCACTGCTTTAAAGCGATAGAAATGACAATGGTCAGAAAAGCAAGACTTTCATTTGTAAAAGCCTGGCTTTGTGGGGCGGAAAAAAGCACGCATGGGCTCTGAAGATCCTGAGCTTAGATGACTGGCCTTAGATGGGTGTCTGAGCAGGGAAGAAAGCAGAGCATGACACAGAGGGAGATGCAAGTGCCACTGGGTGGCAAGAGACAAGAACCCGTGAGGGCGTGGAGGAGGCTGGCACCTCAGTTCTGGCGACATGGTTCAGACTAGGGGTGGGCTGGGATGTAAAGGTGGAGGAGACTGTCTCATTTCTCCCAGAATCCGTGAATATCAGTAGGGGAACACTGAAACAGAGGACCTGAAGTATCCTCTCACTCCATCTCATCCCGAAGCCCTTTCCCTTCCAGTAGTGTGTGAAGGGAGTGAGAAAATGTTCCTCAGCCCTAGAGAGGGGCCACACAGGTGGCTGATGTTGGGGTCCACTATGTTGTGGGAGGGACAGCTCCAGGCCAGTGCATGTTAGAGGTAGGCTCAGTCTCAGAGGATTGACTAGGTCCATGATTGCAAAACTGGGTGGTGGGTCAGAGGGAAGTAGACCATCATCCAATTAATCTGCTGAGAAAATGCAGCAATGGACACTGTTGCCAGAATGGAGGGGGAGCCAAGGCTGACACTCAGACAGGCCTAGTCAGCTCTCCAGGGCTCGGCACTCCCTGGATCCACGATGTCTTCCAAACCAGGTTAGATCTGTGTTTTTTTGTTCACATAACTCTCACAATTGTCATCCCATGGTGATGGAAATGTTGCTTAATGATTATTTTCTATCTAAACTGTAAGGCCCATGAGTGCTAGGACCATGTCTGTGCCCCCAGAGACTAATGCAGTGCCTGGCACCGGGGCACAGAATATTGATAAACAAAGAGAGGATGAGTGGGAGTCAGGCCCTTAGTCCTTGGGAGTCAGGCCCTTAGTCCTGGGTTAGCTTGCAAAGTTCATCAAGGTTCTACTGCAAGGAGGAAAGCCTCTCCTCGGGTTCCTTGAGGACAAGGCCCACACACGTGTCCTGATTTGAGCAGGTCTGGGCTTGTCTCTGTGTGAATGGGCCTTGCATGGGATTCCTCAGCCTTAGACCCAGGTGTATGGGGCTGGGCCACATGTCACACTGTATCCTGCCTCAGCCCTCTCAAAACTTGGCTCTCCTGACATCTAGAGGGGCCTTTTTCTGGCCAGGGGCTTTCCCAGCTCCTTTTCTGCCCTGCTCTGCCCTTTCCATTGGCTGAAGGGCTTCTCCCCACCTCCTTCCACCAGGGGCTCCTGACTTCCAGCCTCCTCCCCGTCTCTTTCCTGTCTCTGGACTGAAGGCCCCATAAAAAGTCACTTTGGCCTCAATCAATAGACCATCTCTTTAACAAGGGATATGCTGGTTTGCAGAATGGAGCCTCCAAGGCTGGGCTGGGGGCAGAGCCAGCCCTCACAGGTGGCGCTGCTTTTCCAGATGATGCATCAGGCTGCATCGGCAGATTTTTGCTCTGTATGAGGACATCTATGCCTCCCCAAAGAAACCTTAACAGAGAGGGAATTGGGAAGGTGGAAGAGTGGGAAGAAGAGTGCAGGAACATCATTCTGAAAGTTCAGAGAGGCTGCTCAGGTTTGGTTCTCTCTGCCACCTTCCTGTTCCTTTTCTAGAGTCCATAAGTGCACCAGCAGCATTGTGCACCTAAGAAATTCACTCACACCGTGTAACACACAAGTTCACCCAGATACAGAACAATGCGAACATGCACACGTGCTCTGTGCTGTCACCCATCACCGTCACATACCTATGATGCTGCTCTTTGGGCTGGGGGTGCTGCCTCTGCTGTCCCCTCCCCTCCATACTGCCCGGTTAACTCTTGGTTCTCTCGTGCCTTGGCCCACTTTTCAATCATCATCCTCAGGAAGTCCCCGGGCCCAGTCCTCTGGTTAAAGGCTCTCCTGGCACCATGTACCTCCCTCTTTTGAGCCATTTGCTGACCTTGGAATTTGACATTTATTCGTATATTTAATTGATACATGCCTCACCTACCAGGCTGTAACCTGCAAGTGGCAAGAACCACTTGCAACTGCTCTGTATTCCACCCGGAGCACAATGTCTTGTACACAGCAAGTCCTCATGGAATAACTGCTAATGAATTAATGGATGGGATAGGCAGCTTCTAAAACAGTCCCCCAGTGCTCTCTGCCTCCTGCATTCACCCCCTTGTGTAATCCCTTTCCCTTGAGTGACTCACTTCTAATGAATGGAAGACAGCAAAGGTACAGTGGACGGAATGTGTCCCCCAAACATTTGTATATTGAAATCCTAACTGCTGCTGGGATGGTATTAGGAGGAGGGCCCTGGGGAGGTGATTAGGTCATAAGGATAGGATCCTCATGAATAGAATTTGTGCCCTCATAAAAGGAACCCCAGAGAGCTGTCTTGTCCTCTCTGCCATGTAGGATGTGAGAAGGAAGCAGTCTATAACCTGGAAGAGGAGGACCCTCACCAGAACCTCACCATGTCGCCACCCTGATCTCAGGTTTCCAGCCTCCAGAAGCATGAGAAGTAAGTTTCTGTTGTTTATAAGTCACTTCTCAGTCTCTGGTACTTTGCAACAGCAGTCTGAATGGACTAAGACAAATGGGGACAGGTGTTGCCTCTGCGATTAGGTTTCCATCCTGTCCTCTCCCTCTCCTCACCTTGCCTGCACTGATGCAGTCGGCTTCCACGTGTAAACTGCCCTATGGAGAGGCCTGTGTGGCAAGGAGCTGGGAGTAACCTCCAGGTGAGCCAGTAAGGAACTGACACCCTCAGTCTGCCAGCCCATGAGGAAACCATGCAATGACCCACATGAGTTGAACTTTGAGTTGACTGCAAACTGGGCCAGCCCCTTGGTTGGAGCTTTTGAGAGACTCAGAGCCAGAGGACCAGGTAAGTTGTGCAAGATTCCTGACCCACAGACACTACAAGATGACAACTGTTCATTTAAGCCACTAAATTGGGGTCATTTGTTATGCAGCAATAGATGATACAACAAATGAATGATTGAGAAACACAACCACCCACAGCCCCTCATGCACCGAAGCGTGTCTTCATCAGGTAATTTAATACATTCAAGTCTTCCCTTCCACACAGCTCGGCCATTGTATACAAACATTCTATACAAGAGCAATGTTTTACATACGCGTGTGCGCACGCACGCACACCCACACACTTTTTTTTTTTTTTTGAGATGGAGTCTTGCTCTGTGGCCCAGGCTGGAGTACAGTGGTACAATCTTGGCTCACTGCAACCTCTGCCGCCCGGGTTAAAAAGATTCTTCTGCTTCAGTCTCCCCAGTAGCTGGGATTACAGACATGCACTATCACACCTGACTAATTTTTGTACTTTTAGTAGAGACAGGGTTTCACCATGTTGGTCAGGCTGGTCTCGAACTCCTGACCTTGTGATCCGCCTGTCTCAGCCTCCCAAAGTGCTGCGATTACAGGCATGAGCCACCAGGCCTGGCATCACACACACTTTCTGAAAGGTGCTCTCGCTTTTTCTATTTTTGCTGCCTTACTACCCCATTCAGGTGGCTATCACCCCAAAATCCCACTGTGTCAGGCCAGGGTGCCAGGCCCACTTGGAAACCAGCCCTGGTCTGTCGCTGAGTCCATCATCCTCATGGACCCTCCTCTCCTTTTCTGTGTTACCACTGAGGCCAGAGTTACCGACTGCCCACTGATCTCATCACGGGGACTCAATGTTAAGGCTAAGGAACCCCAGCAAGGAGTGGGCAATTGCAGGGGAAGTTGTCCCTTGAGCACCCCCCAGCTGCCTGGCTCTGCCCTGCACAAGGCCGCCTGTGCTCCTGTGTGGCTCAGCCCCTCTCCTGCTGTCAGCTGGCCTGGCCAGCGTGGAGGAAATAAAAGAGAACTGTTCTCAGCCTAGAGCTTCCACGAGGGCAGCAGTGGGCGGTGGCAGCGCACACTCCTCCCCTGTTGCCTCACTTGCCCTGTCCCAGCCTCCCGAGGCTCTGGAGGGGAGTCTCTGCTGGCCTGGGGTTCACAGGGCCCTTCTCCGGGGGTTGTTTCTATAAGTAGGACCACCATTTAAACTGTAACAGAGGAGGCTCACATTTCTGGTGCGGAGACTCTAAGCCAGGCAGATCTGCCAGCAGCAGCATAGTATCCTTTATTGGGAGGGGAGCGAAGGGTGTTAACAAGTCAAAGTCCAGAAAGCCTGCATTTTCTTCTCCCCTCTCCCTATCATTCACCCCGAGGTCCTGCCTTGTCCAGGGCCTAATGAAGCTATTCGGAATCCAGAGCTGGCTTCTCTGGGAAGCACAGTCGAGGGACACCTGTAGGCATTTTGCTTTTTGCTTTCTCAGACCTCATTCTCTCTTAAATCTGCTCTCTGAAGGCAAAATATGGGGAATATGGACTCTTCTATCAGGCCCAATGACTCTCTTTTGGGGAAAGGAGGGCACAGGTTGGTCATCTAGAAAGATGGTCCTTCGGGCTATGCTTCTCGTAGGCAGGTCCCGGGCAGTAGGCTGAACTGTTGCTCATTGCCTGTCACCTCCGTGGAGCCACTGCTTCTGTCCAAGAGCTTGGATTGCAGGCTTCTGGTCTGGAAGGTTCTTATTGGCACGAGCAAAGGCACAGGCACTCACCGGGGAAGGTGCCAGGTGGGGCTGGAGTCTTGTTTGAAAAGCAGAATTGGGATGGCTTTAGAATAATCAGGGGTGAATTCTCACAAGGCCTCAGTCCCTGTGTCCCTGAGCCCTGCACCCAGCACGTTGTGTGACCACATGTCTGTGTGTGTTTGTGTGTATAGATACTCCTTGACTTACGATGGGGTTATGTCCCTATCAGCCCCATCGTAATTAAAAAATATTGTAAGTTGAAAATGCACTTCATACCCTGATAAACCTATCTAAAGTAGAAACATTGTAAGTCCAACCATCAGAAGTTGGGCACATCTATAAAGGTGATAAAAGTGGGGACTCCTGCCTGGCAAGTCCCCCGAGGTAAAGATATTGAAAATTTTCCCCAATGCAGGTCATCTGTCATCTACCTACATATCTAATCCCTAATGAAAATCCTCTATCTATCTATCTATCTATCTATCTATCTATCTATCTATCTATCTATCTATCCATCCATTACATCTATCAATCGTCATCTATCTTCAATGGCCAAGTAGCTCTGCATGTCAATGAACTCACAATCTTGATATGAGACCAAATCACAAAGATCAAAATCACACATGAGACAATTAACAGATACCATGAGACTGTTACACAGTTACGCAGTTACACTGAGATCCCTTTTATAAATGCCCCAGGGATTCAGAAAAGGAAGTCAGAATAGCTGATAATAAAAGCTTCATTAAGGAGAGGGGATTGTTCAGGGCCTTGGAAGGTAAGAGAGAATTTGAATGCGCAAAAAGTGTGTGTGTGTTTGTGTGCATGTGTGTGTAGAGGTTGTTCAAGGGGTAGGGATGGGGAGGCCATGAGGAAGGGCCCAGAGGTAGGAAGAAGCATGAGGAACGTAGGATGAGGAGGGAAGGAGACAGCTGACCATGTGCAGAGCATGGGGGGATGAGAAGTTGTGAAGTCAGGGACAGATTGTAAAGAGAGACTTAGTGTGGGTGGCAGCGGGGCAGGCAGTGGGTCTCTGGTCCGTGTCAGACAGGGGATGTATGAGTGATCTGAGCCCAGGCACATGCCTCCTCATCTGTTCTTCAGCTTTCCAGGCAAAAAATGGGCGCTTGCTAGGTAAAAGTCCCCACTTTTATCTGAGTCCTAGACCTACTTCAAGCCTCTCTGGGCTGCCTTCTGTCTTCCCTCCCATTTTTACTCAGCTTTCCAAGAGCCTCTACTCCTTGTCCTGCAGTCCCGCCATACTCCAGCCATTTGCTGTCTTGTGCTCCTGTTGACACAGCTGAGCACTACCCCAAAGCCTCCCATGGCCACTGTAACTTCATGTTCTCCAACGGCTCCCTCCCTGACTCATAATCTTTCTATGTCTCTGATAGCCTCTGTTTCCTGTTCTCCACACAGGCCATTCCAATTCTTCTCTCAGACTCCAACTGCACCATTCCCCTTCCTGCTCCCTGCAGCCTCTGTCACCATCAGCAATAACCTTGCAAATCCCCCAACTTCCTGCCATCAAACCTAAACCACTCTAAACTTGCAACTGTATTTTCCTCCTCTCCTGACACATGGATAAATCTGAGCCCTTCTCATTCTCAGGGACCACTCTTCCCTCCCTTGCTTATATCTGTAAGCTTTACTTTCCTCTGCACTGGTCTCTTCCCATCAACATTTCAATATGTTCAAGTCTATATTATCTTAAAAAAAAAACCCTCAAGTTTGCCCCTTTACTTTCCATCTTTCCCCCTTTATTTCCCACTTGTCATCTTTTCTTTCTTTCCTTCTTTCCCTGCCTTCCTGCCTTCCTTCTTTTTCCTTCCCTCCATCCCTCCCTCCCTTCCTTCCTTCTCTTTCTCTCCCTCTCCCCTCCCTTCCCCTCCCTTCTTCCCTTCCTCCCTTCTTTCCTTCCTCTTTCTTTTTCTTCCTTCCTTCTTTCTTTTCTTTTCTTTCTTTCTTTCTTAATTTCCCTCCCTCCCTCCCCCCTTCCCTCTCCCCTCCATCCCTTCCTTCCTTCCTTCCTTTTTTTCCTCAATGATATTTCCTGAGTGTTTTCTGCCCTCATTGTCTCACTTCCTTCCATGCCTACTCCTTAACACTTGGTCATTAAGTTTCTGCCCCCTCCTGTCCACTAAGATTGATTTCCTCAAAAATCGCTGGGACATGCTGCTCAGCTAAATCCAGTGGGCATTTCCATTTCCTGTTTGTGTGACCCACCAGCTGCACTTGGCACTGTGGACCGTTCCCTTCTTCCGAGTCTCACTTCCTTTGTCTTTTGTCACTCTCCCTGTTTTCTTCCCATCTCTCTGGTCACAAATTTTTCATCTCCTTTAATGCTTTTGCTGAATGTTGTTCGAATGTTAGCGCCCTTTGGTATTCTTCCCCAGGCCCTCTGCTCTTGTCAGCCTTCACACTTTGATCAGGCTCTATCAGAATCTAACCATGGTGACATCTATATAGTCAGGACTTTGGCTTGCAAATGACAGCAACCCAATTCACACTAGCTCGAGCAAAACTGAAGAGAAGTGTTTGGCTAGCATAATAGGCTAGTTTAGAAGCAGAGCTGAACTTCGCGTGTCTGAATCTAGGACTCAAATGATGTTGTCAGGCCTCTTTCTCTCTGTATTAGTTTGTTCTCATGCTGCCAATAAAGACATACCCCAGAGTGGGTAATTTATAAAGGAAAAAGGTTTAAAGGACTCACACTTCCATGTGGCTGGGGAGGCATCAGAATCACGGTGGAAGGTGAATGAAGAGCAAAATCATGTCTTACATGGCGGCAGGCAAGAGAGCTTGTGCAGGAGAACTCACATTTATAAAACCATCAGATCTTGTGAGACTTATTCACTACCACGAGAATGGTATGGGGGAAACTGCCCCGTGATCCAATCCTCTCTACCTGGCCCTACCCTTGACTTGCGGGGATTACTACAATTCAAGGTGACATTTGGGTGGGGACACAGCCAAAACATATCACTCTCCCACCATTCCATCTTCAGCTCTGTCTCTATCATTGTCTTGACCTTATTCTCTTCTATTGAAGACAGCTGGGGATCCTCACTGACCAGTGAATAAGCCTGTGGGGCAGATGGAGATGAGCAAATCTTGGGGTGTGTATATAACAAGGTTTAGTATAACGTCATCACTCTACTGCAAACACAACCTGCTATTTCTGTGCTTGTTGATTTAATGATTGCTAGCACCAGAGACTCAGTAACTTGAGCCAGAAATTCAGAGTTCTCCTTGACTTTTCTCCTTTCTCCCATGTTCGATCCTTTGCCAAATGCAGTCAGTTCTGCCTGAAACATCTCTTGACTCTGAACACTTTCTGTCCCCATGACCACACATGCTTCCAGGCCTTTTTTTCTACCTTGGCTATTGGAATCGTCTCCAGATGCACTCTTTACCTTTTGTCCCATTCACCTCCAAAATGTGCCCCACCCTGTAGGCAGCATGATCTTCCCAAAACACAAGTCAATTAAGTTACACTCTACAGACAGTTCTTCCAAGCTCTTTGTAGTCCTTTGTATAAAGATCCAAACACAAGGCCCCTGTTGCTCCAACTGCCATGTAATCCCTTGCCTTTTGTCTCACCACTTCTTGACTTAAGTGCTACAATACAGCCAGGCTGAACTTCTTGTAGCCTTTGTGCCACACTGTGCTCTCATTTCATCTATGCATTCACTCCTCCGGAGAGTGTCTGGTGAGTACCCGCTGTGCCCTATAGTTGCAGGCACCACGATCCCAGCAGAGATGCTCTTGCTCTTGAGGCTTTGCACATGCTGTACCTCCCGCCTGGAATGTCCTTCCCTTGTGTAGACAATGCAAACTGACTGCTCACAATCTTCTCCCTTGTCTACCTATTATAGAGACTGGGAAATGAAGACTCAGCTTTCCTTGTAGAGGACAGACAGTTCTGGCCAATGAGATCAAGGCAGAAGTCCATAGAAAGGGCGTCCTTTCCTGAATAGAAGTCCTCACTAAGGGCTCTCTGCCTTTCTCTCTCCTTTCCACCAGGAACACGACTGTAAAGCCAATGAGTGCAACAGCTTCTCCTGCAACTATGTGGATGCAAGAAGGATAAATGATCAGTGATAAAGGACTCAATGCAAAGGAGAATGAGTGGAAATAAGGGCGTGGCTTTAAGGCCGCTGTGTATCACCACGTGGGTTGTGTGTTGCACAATTCTAGGAGGCCCATCATCATAGACCGTGACATGGTTAAGCTGTGGCCCTGGTCCCGCCTCTGGTCTGGTCTCTGAAAGGAAGAAAGTGAAGGGAATGGCAGAAAGCTCTGAATTCTGTGAATTGTGAATTCTCCCAAATCTCTCTAGAAACCAAATTGTTTCCATAATTCTTTATGAGGAGGCTTTTGAAACTCAAAGGCTGAGAATTGATTTTATCTTCTGTGTCAACCTTTCTCTAAGGCAACGAGTGATGACTCACCTGGTTTGGACCAGGAGAGAAATCCAGGCTGGAGGAAAGTATGGGGAGAGGAGTAGAAATCATTGGTTAATATTTCAAAATCTTAGCCTGCAACAAATGTACCCAGAAAGTCCATGCCAAGCAATATAAATACTCTTAAAAGCAAAGCAATAATTCTGCTTAAATTGGAGTAGGAAATGAGGAAAAGCTGGAGAAAGCTCCCCAAGGAGGGTGATGGTTGGACTGGACTTTGAAGACCACATTTATTTTGGCAAGACAGGGAAGGCATTCTATACAAATCTGGCACATGTGAAGACAGAGAGGCCACGTGTGCATGGTACATTGGCAGAAGTAATGAAGCGTGGCAAAGGAGTAGCCAGGAGGGAGGCTGGGGCAAGGGTGAGAAAGTTCTTGAGTGTGCAACTTTCAGGAAGCTGAGGAAAGGATGGAGAAGTCCTGACAGTCCTCTCACGGACATCCCCACCTGGCCTCAGGTGTCTGTACAGCCCTTCACCGTGCTTGATAAGCAACTGCCCAGTGCCGGCTACTCTGGAGAAGTCACGGGAGCCTACGCTGGCTCTGGGAGAGTGTACACTCCAGGCCACAGGGTTGCCCCGGCTCATGGGCTCACTGTCTCCAGAGAGCTTGGCCCCTGGTGTCTTCTGGGAACAGCCCTTCTTGCTTAGGCCTTCAGCACACACCTAAGGAGGGAGAGAACTGCCATCAGCAGACCTGGCTGCAGCAGACCTCTGGCTTCTCCCAGCCACGGCTTGCTAGAAGGAACTTCTTCTCAAGGTGTTTGCAGCTGCTCCTCTGGGCCCACCATACTCTTTCTGCACCATCTTGGCACTCAGCACTGTGTGTGCTCACCCAGACATACACTGAGCTCTGAACTGTATTTAGTCTTAGTCACAGTCCCAGTGTGGGATTCCCTCCCCTGCCTACCCCACTCCACCCTTGGAAACAAGTGAATGGGAGCCTTTCTCATCTCTAGGGGGTGGATCAAGACCCCCCTGCCCGGAGCAAGTGCGAAGAATGCTGTGCCTGGGGAAGGATTCTGGGGTGCGCCCTTTCCAAGCCTTCCTGCTTCCTCAATGGATCATGAATCTCAGTCCCCCATCCTGGCAAGGGCTGCTTCCAGAGAGCGGAGAGAGAAGCTATGTAGGTGGGATCATTACAGCCCTCAAGGATGCACTCAAGCCAGTGAGGAGGAGGAAGACCACCGGACCACCCACGGAATCAGGGAGCATTCCTGAACCCCTTTCATCCTCTATTTGCATAGAAAGTAAAGGTGATGATCATCTTTTGATTCTATTCTCATCTTGCCCAAATCCCCACTTTCTAGAGTCAAGGAGGCCAACCCCTTTATGGGTATAGATTTTCATGCAACCTACTTCCATCAGTTATGAGCTCATAGGGCTTAGGCTGGTTCCTGCTTGGGTCCCAGCACCCACTGACCTCCTGATCTCTGGTAGGGATAAGGGCGGGCTTAGTTTTTCTATTGCTGCTGTAATAAATGACCACACATTCAGCAGATGAAAATGACATCTGCTCCTTAGCTTACAGTTTGGCAGGGCAGAAGTCCAATATGGGTCTCCCTGAATCAAAATTGAGGTATCTGCAGGCTGCACTCCTTGCTGGAGGCTCGAGGAAGAATCCATATTTTTTTGCTCATTCAAGTTGTTGGCAGAATCCAGCTCCCTGCAGCGGTAGGACTGAGGATTCTTTGTTGGCTGCCATCTAAGGGTCACATTCAGTTTCTAGAGGTTTCCAACATTTCTTCATTGGTGGTCCCCTTCCTTCATCTTCCAAGCCAGCGATGGCGGGTAGAGTCCTCTCACAGTTTACATTTCTCCTGCCTTTTCTTTGGTTGCACCTCTCTGAGTTAAGCAGGGAAAGGCTCACAGCCACCTGGGTGGCCCCAGTCTAATAACCTGAGCCCTTAAAATCTGGGAGCCTTTCTCTGCTGAACTTTCACACCTGACTTTGTAGGTGTGATTAAGGTCACTGATCTTTCTGTCTCAAGACCGGTAACCTTAATCACACCTGCAAAGTCCTTTTGCCATGAAACATAACATACCATAGGTTCTGGGGATTGGAGTATAGACATCTTTGGAGGCCAGTATTTGGCCTGCCATAGAGTATGATCCAAGAGCTTCATCTCTGCACCCTCTTCCTCTCCCTCTTTCAAATTCTGGTCCTTTAACCTCAGGGTGAGGAAGAAGCCCAGGACTCAAGAGGAAAGCCAGGTCTCTTCTTGGCTTATAGGTAAAGGCTGCCCTTATTTGAAATCTGCACAACTTCTCCAAAGGGAGGCTGGTTTGAGAGCTGGAATTCCATTAGGGGTGTTGAAAGTAGGAAAAAGTGAGGAAGAACTAAGATTCTCACTGACCTCAGCCTTTATCCAGAGCCTTCTCCATTTACCAGCAGCACAGCAACAAACATTGACGTGTTTGAAAAGGCGGGAGAAATGTAAACTGTGAGAGGACTCTACTCGCCATTGCTGGCTTGGAAGATGAAGGAAGGGGACCACTAATGAAGAAATGCTGGAAACCTCCATAGACTCCTCTGCTCAGTCTGTAGCTTCAAGTAGACTATGGACTCTCCTCCCTTGCTGGGGAGCCCAGTTAGATAACCAGGCTCTATGAAAGCATTTAGATTTTCTTTTTCTTTTCTTTTCTTTCCTTTTTTTTTTTTTTTTTTGAGACAGAGTCTTGCTCTGTTGCCCAGGCTGGAGTCAGTGGCATAATCTCGGCTCACTGCAACTTCTGCCTCCCAGGTTGAAGTAATTTTCCTGCCTCAGCCTCCCGAGTAGCTGAGACTACAGGTGCGTGCCACCACACCCAGCTAATTTTTTGTATTTTTAGTAGAGATGGGGTTTCACCATATTGGCGAGGCTGGTCTTGAACTCCTGACCTCTTGATCCACCTGCCTCGGCCTCCCAAAGTGTTGGATTAAGGCGTATCCACTGCACCCAGTCCCCAAAGATTTTCATATGTTAAAAAATATAATTTTGGGAGCTGTTTGGAAATATAAAATATTTTCACCAGGGGCTGGCTGAGAGCCAGGGGACCCTACAGGATCTGCTCCATGGGCTGCTTCTGTGCACCATCCCCCTTATGCCTGCTCAGCATCTGGGCCCCTTGACCTCCTGGAAGTGTCTATTGGTCTCCCAGTTAGCAAACCTGTAGGATGCAAAGCAATCAATCTGTGGACACTGTTAAGGACCAAATCCCTAGCCATAGACACTATCTGCCCTCAGGAGACCTTATACAGGTGTTTGTTCCATAGGGCTGACCACTCCTTCTACCCCAGCTATATGGGGAGCCAGGGTAGCTCTGGCTCCTGGGTTGGCCTCCTCCTCTGGCTCTTGGGCTCCCACTACTTGGGGTGTGTCATCACCTCTCAGACTCTTAGTGGTGTAATTACACTTTGTGAACAAGAAGGAGAAATGTCAAGGTGGTGTCTTATTGGGTACAGGGCTCGGGAATAAGACCTCAAGTTATTCCAGAAACCTAAACATCTTCCCTACCAGCAGGCGAGGTCGTGTGATTACAAAGACTAATCAGTACTTTCCGGGTTGCTTATTTCAGGTAGCCTAACTTTCACCTCCCTCTCAATTCCCTTTTCTATTTTCAACTTTCCCAATATCCATTGCTATACCCACCTCATTTGTCCTAGTTCTGATCCTCTTTCTAGCTCCACTATAAATAACACCGCTAACATGCCACTAAAAAAACAAAATAAAAATTAAAAAAACCACACACACACACACACACACACACACACACACACACACACATTAGATATTTTACCATAATAAAAAAGTCACTGTATTAGGAATTCTTAAATTTTAGTTTGCTTAGAAGTTGCCTAATAGCAATCTGCAGTGGCCCAAGGCCCACTCGTGGACATTTTGATCTGGATCTGGGTGGGGTCTGAACTACCCTATTTTTAACAAGCTATATTTTTAACAACTACCCAGGTAACTGATGACTGATACAGCTCACTGTCTGTGACCTGGATGATCAATCGGTGCTGCAGCCTGACCTCCTTTTTGGAGGTGGGTATTTTTAGGCTCTTTGATAAGTACTTTGTTCTAGTCCCTTTCCTTTATAGGTTAGAAATACCTTTGACTTGAACCAAGGCCAATTCAGTATTTGGTATACATCTTAGTACACTGCTAATTTTAAATAAATACATACACTGGTAATTTTTACTAAATACTTTTTAAATATAAAAAGTCACTTTTGCTTGAAACTAGCCTTTCAATTCTGAATCTGAATAGTCTCCAGTGGATGCAAATTCATTTTGAAAGGATAAACAATTTTTATTTGTTTTCACATACATGGTAAAAGAGGAAGTACTGTGGTATCTCTCAATGGACAACTGTCAATTTACATTCATTCATTCAAGACTGATTAAGCAGGGATGTTGTATTAGTACATTCTTACATTGCTCTAAAAAACTACCTGAGACTGGGTAGTTTATAAAGAAAAGAGAGTTAATTGGCTCACGGTTCTATAGGCTGTACAGAAAGCATGGCTGTGGAGGCCTCAGGAAACTTACAATCATGGGGGAAGGCAAAGGAGAAGCAAGCACGTTATCACATGGCCAGCAAAAGAGACAGCAAATGAAGGGGGAGGTGCTACACACTTTTAAACAACCAGATCTTGTGAGAACTCTATCGCACGACAGCACTAGGGAGACGGTGCTAAACCATTAGAAACCATCCCCACGATCCAATCACCTCCCACCAGGCCCCACCTCCAACACTTGGGATCACAATTCAACATGAGATTTGGGTGGGGACACACAGCCAAACCATATCAGACATAAAGATGAATAATGACCAGATGCCATTACAAGACCTCAGGACCTGAGTGCTCTGACCCTGACCTGTACCCTCAGTCTCATTTGCCATGACAGGAACTCCCAGCCCTGCGCCAACCATACTTTAGCTTCTTACAGGTCCCTGAACCTGCTACACTTCCTTTCACCACTGAGTCTTTGTCCATGCTAGTCCCTCTGCCTAGAATGTTCTTGCTTCCTTTTGCTAGTTCATTTCTACTTATTCTTCAGCCCTCAGCTCAAAGGACATCTCGGGGAAGATTTCTCTCATCTCTCAGACCTGGGTTAGGTTGAGCTCCTGTATCATAAGATCTCTTAGTTTTATGCCTTCTTTCAAGAATAATTTTAGCTATTCTTATGTGCCTAAGGCACAGCAGGCTCTCTGTAAGTATTTGCTGAATGAATAGATGCATGTGAACATGTGGGTTTCTGATACCTTAGGCTGTTCACATCCAAGTGGGAGAAACAGATGTGTAAGTGATCATAGTAATAGGTACTACAATAGAGTAACAGACAAGATTTGATTTGTTGGGGAGATCAAAACACAAAGATTGTTTGATCAGTATCACTTGTGGGGTTGGGCCAGGGAAGACCTTATACAGAAGGTGATGCATGAGATGGATGGATTTTGAAGGGCAACCAGTTTTCCAGGCAGAGGAGAGGGTATTTTTGGCTAGAAAGGACCATGTGGTGATGCTGCAGGGTGGCCTCAAGTTGTTCACTGCACCTGGAGGGATGGGGTGTAAACTCAGTGGCAGGACTCCACCCAATGCCATTTGGGAGCCAGCTCTCTCCCTGCAGGAGTTGGATTGTGCCCCCAGAACCAAAATGTCCAAGTCCTAACTCACAGTACCTGTGAATGTCACCTTATTTGAAAAGAAGGGCCTTTGCAGATGTAATTAAGTTATGGATTCTTTGAAATGAGATCATCCTGGATGAACTGGATGGGTCCCAAATCCAATGACAAGTGTCCTTGTAAGAAAAGGAGAAGACAAAGACAGTGGAAGCAAGCACGGGGAAGACCATGTGAAGGAGGAGGCAGAGGTTGGGGTGATGCAGCCACAAATCACGGATCACTGAGGGTTGCCAACAGCGACCAGAGGCTAGAAGAGAAGGAGGAAATGCTTTCTCTCTCAGTCTCCAGAGGGCGCTGTGCTGAGCCTTTCCAGCTCTGACACCTTGATTTTTAGTTTTTTGGCCTCCAGAACTGTGAGAAAATAAATTTGTTTTTTTTTTTTCAAGTTTAGTAGTTTATAGATATTATCACTCATGAGAGAGTTATGATTTTACCCAATGCTATTTGGTTTTTTTGTTTTTTAAAATTTTTATTGCATTTTAGGTTTTGGGGTACATGTGCAGAACATGCAAGACAGTTGCATAGGTACACACATGGCAGTGTGCTTTGCTTCCTTTCTCCCCTTCACCCACATTTGGCATTTC